GCTCTCTTTTTTCTTGCTCTACCTTTCTGTACAGTATGCCTGTGTATGTGTGTGTGAATGTGTGTGTATATACAATGAGTATGATTTTCTCGCTTTTGATTTCCTTTTGTATCGGGGCTATTCGTGAAATAATAGAATGCTACGCAACTTCGTGTTATATTTTTTCGTTTCTTCTATAATGTGAAGGTACGTACGTTTCGTCGTTATTGATTAAATCGCTCGAATGGACGTACGTACGTAAAAATAATACAAATTTGGTATAATTTTTCCAAATACGAAATATATAAAATAATAAACGCAATAAACAGAAAAATCCAATAAGATTTAATATTGCTTCCATGAAAATATTTCATTCAATAAGCGCTAATAATAACGATGAACGAATAAAGAAAAAAATAGACGTTTTTTTTTCCGAAACGTCAGGATTTTTTTGTTTATGCAATTTCTAGTTTCGGTTTTATACCGAGCGAAATATATATGAAGTTATATTGGTCAAACTCTCTGAAAAAATAAACTTGTAATATATCAAACATTTGGCTTTTTCATTTTATGTTTGTTTATGTTACTTTTTCATCCGACATATCTCTGACGATATGCTAGACCGGCGCAATTTTTCCTGCTTTTTTTTTTTTTTTTTCTTTTTTTTTTTAGGCATGCAAAACGTAAAGCAAATGTGTGAATCTCCTCCGTTTTTTAATATTTTTCATATGTTGCCTTGAATTTAATGGTAATGGTTGAAATATTAAAATTTGTAATCTTTAGCATGCAACGTAAAATCGGTGCAAGGTTTAATTACTAAATCGTAAAAGGTTCATAGCTCATTGTTAAACTTTCTCAAGCTGTTATATACCATACCGCGTACAGCATCACCATCTTTCTCCTCTTTTTTAAGGGGTAGGCGATCAACGTGACTTCGTTACCGTCTCTCCCAGGGTTTCACGAAACTCCGTGAGTTTGAACGACGCGTCTGTCGGCGCGTCATGAGGAAGAATAGGAGGGTGGAGGTTTCAGGTGGAAGGAAAAGAGAGATAGAGAGAAGAGGTGGTTCACCCCCCGTTGAGCAACGCACCTATCCTCTGCACAGCGAACGAACTCCATTAATCACGCGCCTTTCGGCGCTTAATGAAAAGGCCAAATATCGCGTAGCCTGCTAGTTCTCAAAAGAAAGAGAGAGAGTGAGAGAGAAAAAGAGAGAGACAGACAGATAGACAGACAGACAGACAGAAAGAGGAAGAGAGAAAAATGGCGGGGCTAGAGGGTAAAAGGATAGCCAACGGCAGAAATTGCGATCGAAACGACGAGCCGCTTACGAAGCAAATGACTTTTTCGTGGTCGACGTCGTCTTCATCGTCGTTGGTTCGTGCAAGAATCGTTAGACCGTCAAATTGATTTGAGATCTTTTCAATTTTCTGCCTTGAAAGATTAACTCTTTCGTTCTGAAGCTTGGCCTCCTTTTTTTTTGTTTCCCTTTCTTTCTTCTATTTTTTTTTTTTTGTTCCTTTCTTTTTTTTCTCTTTTTCTTTTTTTTTTATGCCCGTTCCGACCACACCTCTGCTTCGGATTTCTTTCTCCCTTCTTTCTTGTTTTATCCTTTTTACCTTCCCTTCTTTCTCCATTTCGTTCTCTCGCAAAAGTTTTGTTCGAGGGATAAGAGGTAAATAAATTAAGACGGAAAATGTTTAGAGAGAAAAATATATTGTAAAGCCGAATTTAATAATTTGTCTTTTCAATACGAGACAAATCTCCTCTTGTGATACCCAATCTCATTCTTGGAGTAAAATACGATGACGTAAAGGTAGACGGCGAATGGAGAAGTGGTAGGGATATGAGGGCTTTACGCAGCCCTCTACATGCAACCTGCATTTTATTAGAATAGTTTGCTCCAAGTTTTTTAATAGAACCGAGCTTACGCGTTCTGCCCTTTAGAGCCTATTATTGCGAACTGAGTTCAAGGCTTTTTTTCTTTCCTTTTTTGTTATTTCTTGTTCTTCTTTTTCTTTTTTTTCTTTTTCTTTTTTTTTCCTACGGTGGTACGCGACTCGCAGAGAAAGAGGACACCAGCTGTCATAACTACTTCTTTCGAGATTTTCGTCATACGCTCGAATAAAGAAGAAAGATATGGAGAAAAAAGAAAGAGAAAGAAAGAGAAAGAGAGAGAAACAACGGTCGATCCATATCGCTCGAATTCGCGACAAAAACTGCGGGTTATGTTGAATCGCGAGATAAAGAGAGAAAAGAAAAAATTACAAAGGAAAAGAACAGAGCCGTCGGAATAAAAATCCACGAAGCAGAAATAGTAGGAACAAATGGAAAAATAGAAAAAAAAAGAAAAAAAAAGAGAGAAAGTACGTATATAAAAGATCGACAAGGTGAAATTGTTTTGCAGTCATATAGAGAATCATTATGAGAGATAACCTTTAGAATATAATAATTTCATTGCTGATTTTAATTCTATAGTACTTCGATGTTAAATAAAGGAAAATAAAATATGCCCAAAGTAATATTATAAATCAGTATTTTTTAGTTTTAAATCTGATGAAAATATTAAATTGACCGCGACGATTTAATAATTTTTAACAAAAATTAATTAATTAGCCAAAGTAATCGTAAAAATATTTTTCTATCGTAAATATAACTACGGTGACTGTACCGAACTTCGTTCGTAGATATGATACCTCAACATGTACCGGGTGGATTTTAATTAACGACCTCGTTGTGCACCACAACCCCTCGTGTATCGTCGTAATTCACATTCATCCACGCACGATAGCAACGCTGCTATGTAAAGCTCCATACGCATTCATTCGTTCGTTCGTTGAACGATAGTGGCCTATAAAGCCCAATGGGGATTACACGTGCAGACGCGCGTAAACCCGAGGCCGAACATGCTTGCTCGGAGTCATTTCGATGGTTGAAAATGTACGGATCAGGGAACGTGTTGTCTGATGTCGACGAATTCTATATCTACGACTACACATAGTATACGCCTAACATATGTGTGACCAATTACAAGTATGGATACGAGTGAAAAAAAAGAAAAAAAAAAAAAAAAAAAAAATGAATAACAAAAACGAAGGATTAGGATAATCCTATGGTTTATATAAACTTACCACAAAATTACGTCAACGCTTTAGATTTTTTCATTATATAAGTATAATTATATGTTTTGCATTCGAATGGAAATAGAGTTCGTACTTAAGGAAATATTAAGAGAAATGTAGAGTACGAGTCGTTGCGTGTACGAGGTTCTTTCTCGACGTAATACGCTTGCGTAAAAAGGTCAAAAAGCATTTGGTCATGTTCCGCCGCAAGGAAGGTGTTATATTCCAGTGGCCGGCAGCGGTGCATGTCGAGTTAATTGATTCCGAACGACGACGAGAACGACGACGACGACGACGACGACGACGACGACGACGACGACGACGACGACGACGACGACTCGCACGTGTCACATCGACATTAAGCATTACCGTGGGTCTGCTTCGTGGACCACACGCCGATCGACGTCACACGTTCGAACAACCGATGTACACGAAGAACCGATTTGCCGATACTGTACAGTAGCTGGCTACTGTTTGAAAAAATTCATTATAATTGACGGCACATGTTCGATACAATTTCTGTTGCGTGTCCATTCGAAATATTACCAATTGGATGCCGTGTCGATGTAATAATTCTTTCCTCTTGTTATATTATAGAGAATGAAAACGTATAATTTAAACTTCTGATTATTATTATAGCTTTTGTCAGTTCATTTTCTACTTTTGGAAATCCAATCTATTAACAATAGAAATGATTAGAACGTTCAAATAACATAGTTAAATCTATACAAGAACAATAATAATAATAATAATAATAATAATAATTTTGTAACAATTGGTCACTGTATGGAATTAATTAGATAGCATTTAATTGTATCCTATTGAAGGTAGAAATTTAAATAAGTGCACATGCGTTACATATGAATCCACACAAACATGTGTGTTTATGTGTGTATATATATATGTTTGTTTATTTGTTTGTTTATTTGTTTATGTGTGCGTGTGTATTATTGAAGTCATTAATTTAACCACAAAGTATCTATTAACATTTCTACATAGGAAATATTTATTAATTTCGATATGTATTCAATAACAATGTTATACTAATTCTATTAGAAATATCAGAAAAGAAAACAAAGAAAGGTTCATGAATATTCCAACAATTATCTGATTCTTGGGAACTCATCATGCAGTAAAAGAGAAAGGAGAAAAGGGATGGTACTAAGTATGTCTTCCCACGTTTCACTGAAAGAGTCTACCGCTTGACGAATGACATCGACTCGCATGAACCTGACTCCAAGTGCTTCTTGATGACGAACGTAACGTCATTCATTGCGTGCTTAATTAACACAAGAGTAGTGGAGCTAGTGAGTAAGAAAGCAAAGAGAGAAAGAGAAGAAGAAGAAAGAGAAAGAGGTAGAGTTCAACTCGGGTCGTTCTTCGACTTTACGCACACTCTCTTTCTTCTTCCCTATAGTAATGTTCACCATTCGAGTCTTTCGCACTATTGTAAGCATGCCTTGCAAAATCCTTTTTACAAAATCGCCAGCCGAGAATTTAATTAACCTGTTTTACGTTTGATAGACTTTGCAAAAACTTCTGGTCGATCTTTTTACTTTGCTCTTTTTGTTCTTTTTTTCTTTTTGTTTTTTTATTTCTTTTTTTTTTCTTCTTTTTTTTTTGTGAAAAGATCTAATTAATAGATACACGGAAGGGATGAAATAACCGTAATGAATGTTAAAAGGAGTGAAAGAAAGACAAAAGTAGACAAAAGAAATTTAAAATAGTACTTTAACGAAAAAGCGTTTAATCGAAACGTATAGAGATTTGCTGAAAGCCATTTTGTATTCCGAGATTACAGTCATAATTTTTGACGTTTAACTTTAGCGAGAATGACTTTTGAGGGTTGGGCAATATCTATTTTTATACGTGGTATTATATTTGAATATGTGTGCGCAGGTTTTATGGACTACCCGGAAGAATGAGAATACCTGAATTCCTTTTCCTTTTAGTCATCGTCATCTTTTCGATCTCTAAGGAGTAGACAGGTTTCTTGAGATTCGAAAGGAGGAAACATCGAGGGCGTAAGCATACATCTCGACACTACCACTTGCTAAGAATTACCAGATCCGCATAAAATTCTCAAAGGATTTAGTCAGACGGATTTAGACAAACCTGTTAATAAAATTGGTGAAATTGAATAGGATTTGTTTGATCGTCGAATAAATCAAAAAAATATTATATAGTATTAACGTTTTAATTTTCTAATAGATCTATTCGTTAAGTCTTGCAAAGATTTGCATTATTTCATTTTATTTTGTTTTTAATAATATTATTAAACGATTATTAATTGAAGTTAACATTGATTGTGTATGGATTAGAAATCGATCGATTTTCTTAGATCATATTTTTTTTTCTTTTTTCTTCTTCTCTTTTTTATTCGTTTTATCTGAAAACTTTAAGTATCACAAAGGGTTCTACCGAAAGAGAATGTTAAACGGGCGTAGACGGAGATCGTTGGAGATTCACCAAAGTAAAAAAATTGAGAAAAGAGATAGAGGGGTTGGGGAGGGAGCGACGAAAGAAGCAGATGGCGTAGATTATAGAGTCGAGCGAGCGGAACACGGTAAAGCAATTTCTGTTACAAGCACGCTTTCTCGTTTCCGCGAAGAGAATCCTTCGAGTTACTTGAAGGAATTTACATGAACATTCACGCGCTCGCACACATACATTTTCCGTATAACTGTGAAAGAAAGGCGAAAGGTTTTGTGAATGGCCAAGCGACTCTCCCCCTCCCTTTCTCTCTCTCTCTCTCTCTCTCTCTTTCTCTCTCTCTCTCTCACTCTTCCACAATTCACTCTTTCGCTCTTTTCAATCTATATATAATTCTATATGAGTACGAGCTTATCATCGCTTTCCATGAAAGCTGAGCCTATGTACGTGTACACGATATCGATTTCGCTGTCGTTAATGATAATTAAGGCCTGGCGCAACGAGATTTCGCTAATGGAACATAACGTATACGGAAATAACGCGTCTAGCCGCAGCTAATGCGTGATTACTATTTTTCTTTTCGACAAAATATCTTTCCCTTTGCCGTTTCAATTGATAATAACGTTACTTTTTCATAAAATATAAGGAATGAATTTTTGGATGTACGAACAAAGGAAAATGAAGAAAAAAAAAAAAAAAAAAAGAAGAAAAAAAGAACAGAACAAAACAAAGAAAGTAAAATCACGTGACAAAATTTAAGAAGATTTATCGAAATAACGTTAATACATCTTTGCCAAACACAATTTCGTCTCTTAAGAATACATATATATCGTATTAGCTTAGAAGTGAGAGTAAACAAGAGAGAGAGAGAGAGAGAGAGAGAGAGAGAGAGAGAGAGAGAGAGGGAGAGAGAGAAGCTGCTCCGTTGATAATTCGCAAATCCTCGAGGGCGGTGATGGCGGTCGATTATTCTCGCTTGCCGGCTGGCTATCGTAAGCTGTAGGCGCCAGCCTGCTTGAACTTGCTTTTCCGCGTCTGCTTATCGCTCTTATTAATATCATTCATCGAGCGTGAACAATAGTGCGAGCACAAGCCTTGCGAAGAAATTTTTTTTTCTTTCGATGAAACACACTTTCCTCAGCTTAGTACCTAGACTCGAACTCTGATTGCCATTATACATACATATATGTATATGTAATACTTACTCTTCGAAATGATGATAAATGTAATGGCCGTTTATCATCACTCCGCTATAAATTATTCCGATACAAATTAATAACTTCGTGCTAGAGAGATTTACCAATATTTTTCTTCCGGGTTATATATTACCGATGGATAATGAATGAAGGAAGCTTTGATGATCGTCATTAGAAATTTTCTTGATTGTCACGAGTTATTCAACTTTGGGAAAAACGAAAATATTTAAAAAAAAAAAAAGAATTGCAAATGATAATAAAATGATATACAAAAAAAAAACAAAAAAAAAAAAAAAGAAAAAAGGAAACATAAGAGAAAAGCAAGGCATATACATTTTTTAAAGCTCCAAATGTCGGTACTCTAATTATTATTTTTCTTTTTTTTTTTTTTTTTTTTTTTTTATTAATTATAGTAATAGTCAGGAGTTATTATCATAAATATGTTTCTTGATAAAAGTCAGAGGTCATTTATAATATGTCGCAGTTGCATTACAGGGTACATATTACGGCTGTAGGGAAATTATTAAAGTCAAAAAAGAAATTCGTAATATAACGTTCTCCTTTACGCGATATTTGATCCAGCATTTTTTTCAATTATATTAAATTACTAAACATCTAAAATTTATCCTTAACATATTAGATATATATTCGTATTTATTAAAAATATAATATATCATGAAAACATTTTACCTAGATATAAAGCGAAAGTAACTAATTTATTTAGTTTTATTAATAATAAATCAAACGAGATCTACATTTATAATAATGTTTGTTATTAAACATTCTTTAACTTCGTTGATGTAATAATTGTTAAGCTCATATCTGTCTTACTTGTTAACTAACTTTAACCGAAAATTACTAACTTATACTATCACGTAAGGTATGCCAATACGACGGTCGCATTCTGAAGTGTGCCTTAGGATGTACCAAAGCGATTCAAGAATTCGCAGGACGTGCTCCTCGCATGAGAAGATATTCAATGCATATGGATTTCTCGCATGGATTTCTATGTACATCTCTTCTTGGTAAGGCCAACGACTCTTTCTTCTCTCTTCTCCTATTTATCCCTTTTCATGCTCTCCGATTCTTTCCCTTCTTCTTCTTCTTCTTCTTTTTCCTCTTCTTCCAAGTATTCTAAAGCACAGAAAAGGAGTAAGAAAGGAGTAAGAAAGACAGAGAGAGAGAGAGAGAGAGAGAGAGAGAGAGAGATAAAGACGATAGTAGACAAGAAGAAAAGCGTTGGGCCCCTCGTCGTTGTCGTCGTCGTCGTCGTCGTCGTCGTCCTCGTCGTCATCGTCTTCGTCGTCGATCCAGGACAATATGGTCAGAAAGGAATTCTTAAGGAGCAGACGGGGAATAATAATACCGGGAAGAGTAGTGGAGACTTCGTTTAGACACACTTGCCTTAAACGAGATTCAACGAGGAGACCTCTCTCGTAGCCCATTGCAAGAGGATTGTTGATTGCTCTCTTCGTCTCTTTAATTTACCATGAATCGCTCGCGGCAACTGTAAGTGAGCTTGGATCGAAGAACGCAAGACTGAATGGACTCTGCGATCTACTTTCTTCTCTCTTTCTCTCTCTCTCTCTGTCTCTGTCTCTCACTCTCTTGTTCAATGATCTTATACGTGAATAGCGATCATACTTTTCCTGGAAAATGATTGTCTATGGAAGTTTATTAAGTTAAATTACTTACATTACAAAGATCACCATGACTTTATTACTTAATAAAAGAAGACAAATTGTACACAAAGGATAACATATTCTTTTTCAGATATATAATATATATATATATATACATATATTTATTTTTTGATAAATACTATTTGTTAAAATTAGCGAATGAAGAAGAATGAATTACATTTGATAAATATTTGAAATTTTAAGCTCTATAGATATAAACATCGTCCGACCGTAATAACGAATTCGATGTTTCATTACGCTCGATCATTCTGCTCGTTCATTCATTAATAATCGCTCACGGTGATCTGACACATCGAGACACAACGCCATTATACTATTCCATCGTTCGACGAATAATGATGAAACGAAACATCAATCGTCACATTTTCTACGTATTCAATTTGACAAATTACTATGCTTCTTGTTTTCATTGCTCCAATCATTCTTCATATAAACGACAATAGACAGTACTAATTTTGTATTAACATTTTCCATGTTGTTGCTTAAATCGATTTAACTATTATTAGAGCTCATTTCTTGTTTAACTGGTTACGATCATAAAAGGCATCAAATTTTGACGGGAAAAAAAGAAAAAAAACAAAAAAAAATTGGATGTGAAAGTGACCAATAAAGAATACGTTTCGGTGATACGATTCGTTGATATAAATTTCAAAGTTATTATAAATCATATAATGCAAACTAGTAAGACATAAAATCATGGAGTCCAATATGCTAACATATTTACGCTTAACAGGCTCGACGAGATCAAATAAATTCGAGGATTTTAACGTAGGAAACTCTTGTTGAGGACCGTAGTCGTGAAATTGGTTGTAAAGTCTAAAGCAAGATGTTAGGTATACTAGAGAAAGAAAAGGAGAAAGAGAAAGACAGACAGAGAGAGAGAGAGAGAGAGAGAGAGGGACAGAAAAAGAGAGAGAGAGAGAGAGAATAGGGTAAGAGAGAGTAGAGAGTAAACGAATGGTCTGAAGAAACTATTCGGACGTCGACGGCATGACGAAGACGTCCAACAGTGCGCGCGAGAACGGTACCGTCGGTAGATGTCCATTTACATAACAAGATTATTTCATTTTCCCTGCGAATGGAGCCGTAACCCCTTATGTAAATGCGAGACACGTGAAAGGCGTACGATCGGAGCAGTTTCTATACGAGTACCCTCGCCATATTCCGTGAACAACGTGCACGCCCTTCCTTTATATTAATCCATAACGTGCAACTTATGCGCGAACAATCGGTGCATCGAAAAATCGTCGACATCGAAACGTCCTATTCTTTCCTCTTCTTTCTTTCTTCCTTTCTTTCTCTCTCTCTGTCTCTCTCCCTCTCCCTCTCTTTTTTTCTCCTTTCTTCTTTTTCTTTCTTTCCCCGCGAATCATAATCCATAACAATAGGATCATGGATGAGTTCTATTAATAACGGTACGTCGAACTTGATTCGAAAGTTTTCCAGTATAGTCAGTACCTACGTTATATATTCTCAAAGCCCATAATAAACCGTAAATGCATTCATTTACATCTACAAATAAAAATCTAAAGGAGCAGAATTAAATTTTGGTTCTCTTCTTCGGGTCATTTAATAAACGTAAATAAGAAAGTGACTTCTCTCTCTCTCTCTCTCTCTCTCTCTCTCTCTCTCTCTCTCTCAAATTTCCATTTTTACGCGATCAATTTAATTTTGTTGAGGTCGTGTCTGTAGATGGCGACTCGATTGAAATTTAAATTTTCTTGCTTATTATTATAGTCATTATGCAAGATCGTGATGTAGTATGTACGTAACAAGTGTGTTTTAAGTATTCTCCTTGTTCCTCGTAAAAAATCCATACCTAGCTCTTTGCTCTGTCAACTTGTGTATGTATTTTCGTATATCTGTGTCGCTAATAATTAATATAATGGTAATCAGATGCTGACTAAACAATAGCTATCAGTCATAATAACTGTATCGCTAGAAATCTATATAGTTATAGGGACAGAGAAGGAGGAGAGAGAGAGAGAGAGAGAGAGAGAGAGAGAGACAGAGAGGGAGAGAGAGAGCTAATTCCATGCTAGTAATTAGCCGTATAATTGAAGAAGCCATTAATCGAATAACAGGGCCAATTGCTAGATGTACCACTGAGTACTCAATTATGTGCATCCGTCCAACTATTAGCCACAAATTTATCCGTATAACAAATTGTCAACACCAAACAATGGACAACCAAAGGTAGTATAGTACAATTTCCTATTCCAGGATGCGTTTATGAGTTGTCTTTGATGTTATCCTGCAATTGAAGTTCACTGTTAATACTAATAGATTCTATCATCAAAACGTGAATGCACAAGGATTAATATTATACAAATCGATTGTGATTGTCTTCTGGCGTATCCTTATCGAATTATATTAATATTTCTTAATGAAATGATTCGAAATTTACAGACACTGATGTACGAAGTAAAGATATCATCGTCAACGAGTCTAATAGAAAAACAAGTAATCTGTTCAACGATATAGTATATGCGCGATTTAACTTGTGCTTCTCTAAAAATGATGTCATGACGAGTGTCGGAATTGATCGTTCGAGCGAAACGTTAAAAGTTGGCCAAAAGTGGGCCAACTGGCTAGAGAGGTTTTAAACGAAAAAGCGACGGAAAGACAAAGAGAGAGAGAGAGAGAGAGAGAGAGAGAGAGAGAGAGAGAGAGAGAGAGAGAGAGAGAGCAGAGGTAATCGTTTATAAGCCTCCATTTTCATCCTCGTTCGTCAGAATTCATCACTGATAGGCACTAATACGCGAACCCTGTACATACTGCAACAAATTCATGTTATCATAGTATATAAAACACTCGCGAAACCAAGGAAATGAAAAAAGGATAAAAGGTATAAGGTGGTGGTATATCAGAGGAAAAAATAAAGAAAGTAAAAGAAGAAGAAGAAGAAGAAGAAGAAGAAGAAGCAAAAAAAAGTATAAAAAAAAATAGTGTAAGGAAACTTCTAGTCAGGAAAGCATCGTATCCAAGTAGGCGCAGGGTACTTTGTTAAATTATTAATACAAGCCCACCATCGTAAAAGCATATGAGAACATAAATTCGCTCCTTCCATTCCTTATATGCTTATGTACATATTACATATACTTATATGTATATCGACCGGTGAGAACAAGTCGGACATTGAGCGTGACATAAATACTTAATGTAACCCGTACTCATGAAATATGAACCTGAACTAGGAGTAAGAAATGAGAAAGAAGAAAATAAGTTATATGAATTTATTTGTTTTTATTTTTTATTTGTTTATTTTTTTTTTTTTTTTTAAATATAAAAGCATTGATAAGTCATATAATAAAAATGAATGGTGATCGTGTCTACTATTAACTTCAAGTTTTGAAAATCTAGACGGTATATTCTCTCTTCTTTTTACGAAAGGGAAGAAAAACGGATTGGCAGGGATTTATTGGCTGGCAGGTAGTAGGACGATGTGACGACATAACTCGATAAGGGTCTTTGCCACGAGGCAGAGGTGCAGGGATAGAAAAAAGCTTCTTCTTCTTCTTCTTCTTCTTCTTCTTCTCTTTCTTCTTCTTTCTACTTCTTCCTCCTTCCGTTTTGAAGATCCTCGTCTCTCTTTTTCTGAAGAACCATGGTCGCATCGTGGCGGATCGGATGATACGGATGAGTGCCGAGTACAACACAATACGTCTCATGGCAGATGTGCGTAGTCCTCAATGGAATCGTACTACGTATTGCTCTCTCTCTCTCTCTCACTCTTTCTATCTGTCTGTCTGTCGGTCTGTCTCTTTCCTTTTCTTATACTTCTCATCTTTTCACCATTCTTTTCATTCTTCCTCTTTCTCCCTTTTTTCCAGACTACCCCCTACACCCCCCATTCCCAAATGCCAATAACTCTTCTAGATTCATTTCCTCCTAATACTCAGTACCGTTTTATTCTCCTTTTTTTTCGTTTCTCTCTATCTCGACATCAACATATTCACGCTTTGTTGTCATGTGTATAAGTAATATATATATATATATATATATATATATATATATATATATATATATATATATATGTATGTCATTCATTCAAAGCGGAATATGACATAATACATACGAATATAAATACGAACATTATATTTATTTATTTATTTTTTTTGGTATCAAATTAACTATTCAATTAGTAGTCAATTTTTGATAGATTACGTATATAGAATTCATGATTGTAGTATGGTATAGTACTCTTCGTTCTCTCTCTCTCTCTCTCTCTCTCTCTCTCTCCCTTTTTCTATCTATTTATTTATCTATTTACCTTCTTATCTTTTCACCCTTTTCCGTATTTTTTTTTTTAGCTGTTCTCTTTCCGTTTCAAGCTATCTCCCTTCGCATAGCCAGATGCCAATAACTCTTCCACATTCATTTCCTCCGATACTTGCCTCTTTTTCTACCCTTTCCTCTTCGATCTTCTCT